AAAAAAACTGAAGATGTAACGTTTAAGACTAACACGTTTATTGAACAATAAAGTATAACTATTTACAACCCGGAGTATTAGGAATTAATTTTGACGAATTAACTCTTCGACTGAAGAGGAAGTTCGCGATTTATCGAATCCGCGACGGCGGATCGACGATAACTTGCGCGAGACAAGGCCCTCGATAAAGGCGTATCGAGCGACCGAAAAAAACTGCGTGACCGTAAGCGAGACTAAGCGGCGGCAAAGTGAGTGCGGGCGATTCCCGCTTTTCCAACGTAGGCCAAGCTCTCCCTCTCGAAGACTCGAATTTGTGGCGTGACCGAAGGGCACTTCCTGTTTGTTCGAGTTGTTTGCTCGAGTTGTTTGTTCGAGCCTTCGAGAAGGAATTCGGTGGAATTTTTAACGCGGCTAATTGTTTTTCGGCAATCAGCCGCTTTCCGCAACGGGGCAGCGCTATTGGTCACGCGGAGCGCAAGCGACGACTGAGGGCTGACGCACCGCCGCGGAGCAGGTCCGATCACGTGAAAGGCACATGCTCGAGCCCGGAGCGGCGCGTAACCTCCAAATGTCCCGCGCGCCCGCGGTCGACTCCCGAACAATAGTCTTAACAAAAATTTATTAGTTGAAATTAATGTTCACAGCAATCAAAAATCCTCTATTATATTATAAAACATTTAGTTGTTTTTGATAAAATAATTTTTTACACATAGCTGTATTGACCAAATAATTTAGTTGCAAGAACCAAATTTTTTTTTGAGAATTGCTAAAGCTTTCTTAATAACAAGTGAAAAGCAATGGCATTACATACATAATTTAAAAATAAGAAACTTAAAATTAGGGAAATTTTTTCCCTTCAGTTTAGAAAAAATATTTTATCATATAAACGCAAAAAAAATTAAGACAGAAGAATCAGAAATAAAAATGATTACATTACATGATAGTCAAAATTTCAGTACCTATGATATTATAATATTATAACCACTAACACATACAGTTCTTATTTTAAGTTTAACATTTTTGAAGTTCTTATTTTTAAAGCCTCAATCGTGTATGTAATGCAATTTTTATTATATCAAGAAAACCTTAGCAATTCTCAAAAAAAAAAGATTAAGTTCTTGCAACTAAATTATTTGATCAATACAGCTGTGCGTAAAAAAATATTTTAGCAAAACCAACTATATTTTTTGTAATATACCAGAAAATATATTTTATTGCTATGTATGAACATTAATTTCAACTATAAATTTTTATTAAGATTATTAATTTTTTTTTCTAATGTACGATTTATAAAGAAACATAAAAGACGATTTTTTGAAAGTAAATTTTTTGAATTTTTTGAAATAAAAGTAAAATGGTTTGTTAACAATCAAAAAGCTTGCTTTTCTGAACGGAATTGTTTTACAATCAACTAAACATTTAATTTTATTTACTAAATTTTTATTTCGTTTATTCTATTAATTTTTTTTTTAATTTTTGAGACGTTGGAGTTACATTTATTTTCAATTTTTAGAAAATGCAATAACCGATGAAAATTTATCTGATCTTACCCCAGAACTCATCAAAGAAATGATACCTAAAATAGGATTACGAATGGAATTTTAAAAAAAATGGATGGCGGTATTTAAGACAGAGCAAATGTTTGATGTTAGTACGCATATATATGTATATGTAGAAAAAAGAATTTTGTTTTACATATCCTGATATACATGAACATTGAGATGTAAATCTTCTCGATTTTGAAGATATACTTTCAATCTTGAGTAATATCTTTTTTACTATGTAACGATGCGCCCCGGTAAACCGCATTGTCCCGGCGACAAACAGCCGATACCGCCCGAACGAACAGCAGTCGGGCGACGAAACGGCGCGAACGCGCCCCATTGTAATTAGGTAAACGCCGCTAGACGGTTTAAACGTTGCACGTTTAAACGTTAGTACGGGAGACATAGCGCAGACGCGCTGCGCTACACGTCTTCCCCACCACCGCGCCAAAACCAGCAACCCGGGAGGTATAAAAAGCCGAGGCAAAGAGCGCCCAGGACCTGTCATCTACGAGCCATCCAACCGCTCCGGTTACGAGACGAAACCTGCTCCCTAGAGGTAGTCGAGAAGTCACGAGTCTTGGCTTCGGTCTAGCAGTTCTGGACGGCTACCTCGAAATCCCCTCACCATCCTCTTGGCCCTCGCTCTAGGGTAACGAGTCTTTGCCTGTGCCACGGGTTCGTGGCAAGCAACCCGGCCAACCCACCCTGTTCGAATCGGCAGCACCTCGGGCCCCGTGTTCGGAGCCGTAGCCAAGTGTCTTGGCCGCCAATTCGAATCCCGACCAACACCTTCTCGGGGAAAATCAGCACCGCCGACCGAAACTCCCGTTCGCTAACGCGAAGGGATTCCGCCCGTGACGCGAGAGCCTTCCGCGAAACGCTCGACAGCCATCACATGGCATTTGTCGCCGTATCACGCGCCTAGCGCGTGCCGCCGCGTCACTGCGCCACCCGCCAGCCGCGACCACCGCCGTCCGCGTTACACGTTGGGACGCGCCGCTCATCGTCCGTGCCACCCGTGGCGCGACTCACCGCGGACCTGTACATATGCTTGTAAATAGTTACGTTTAAGGAATATGTTTGTAAATAGTTACGTTCAAGGGAATAAATTTATAGTGTAATTATCCGAGAAGTACACGTCTCGTTATTACCCGGAACCCCTCCTTCCCTCGCCTGAACTACTTTCGATTCCTGGACACGCCCGCGCCGGCGAGCTGATCCGCGATATCGAAGGGTAGGTCGTTTCAACTATATTGACTAGGATTCGAGGACAGACATCTGAAACATCAGAAAGTTTGTTATCACTAAGTTCATCAGATGATTTTTATAATGTAAAAAGATAGAACGTTTGTACGGGAAAACAGACGTTTGCTTTGAGAACGAAAAGTATCAATATCAAAGAAATTCTATATACGAATATCCAAGGAAAGGCGATTGTAAAATCTTATAAAAAATCCAAATCTTTGACACGACAATCTAGAATGCTAATTGTTGACATTATTCTAACAGAATTACTGAATGAAACTGCCAAGTAATTTTATTTTATATTTTTTAATAATGTTAATATTTGCATAATAAACGTGCATATGGATATTTTCAGTTGTTTATATCCTATTTAATTATATTTTATTTTATTTCATTTTCAGTTTGAAAAATGAAGATTTTCGATACATAGTAGAGGAAATAGTAAAACTTTTTCCCACCAAAGCTACAACGACGTATTACATTCCGCCAGTCAAAAAAATTATCGCGAGTTGGAAAATCTTTAATTTCACGTGGAAAACTGGTGGACAAATATCGAAATAAAATACGCTCCTTGAAACTTATCAATGAGTGGAAACCAATAGACGATCATAGAACCGAAACTTCGGACTTATCCTCTGATGAAGGTAGTCTGTAATAGAAACTTAAAATTACATCTTACTTATTAATTGAATATTTATTACATTCTAATTTTTTTATCTTAGAAACAACTGTTCTCGATGCTAAAGCATGGCTACAAAGTCATTCTATGCCATAGGAAATTGTTGTTACAAAATGGAAGTTAACAGCTGAATATCGATGAAAAAGTATTAAGTCAAATCACGATTTAAAATTGTTGAGGATGGGTATTAATTAAGCGGGATTACTCGAAAAATAGCGCGAGATCGGTTTCGTAACGTGTATATATATTTTTCCACATGCAAAGAAGGCGCTCACCGTCTACAGCGCCACACGGCGCCACCGCTTAACTGCGTAATGGGACATTTACATGACAACAAAAATTGTGTCAAATTTTTGAAAGCTGGCCCATTCTTAAAAATCCAAATGCATATACATTAATTGAAGAGGATTATTCTGATCTGAAATTATCAACGCAAGAATTAACATTGGAAAGTTGGAAAACTTTTTTTGTAAAAATTTTAGCTGTTCGGCCACCGAAAAAAGCGATGACAATGCACAAGCTTTGATAGAGTTGCTTCAATGCGAAGAATTGACCGA